ACGATAATAAGAAGTTTTTGACAATGCCAAATCGTGTGACAATAGTGCAAACATAAGTTTTACCTTGATCATGTGACTAAGTTTTTGCCAAAAGTAATCCACTGTTATGAGTTTTCTGCATCTAATGAAGATGCAATCAATGCATGGCTCAGATCTTCCCATCCTCTCCCATAGTCCCTTTTTAATCCAATTCACCATAATTGTTAGAAGAGTCAAGAGGAAATTGCTAGAGTAATTTGTGCTGCGTTTGTGCTAGGTGCTCTGCCTCACGTTTAGATATTTTTTATTTTTTCCTTTGTTGCTAAGTTTTGTAGTTCTTCTCTATGAATACATGATTGACAGATTGTAAGGAAAATGGACCATAGGCCCATTTACTTTGGATTTTGGTGTTTGATGACCAACATAACCAAATTGGACTAATGAATTTTTAAGTGTTTATTTTGTAGTTCAATAGGGTGCAAGACGTGGCTTGGACAAAGGCGACGTGATGATCCGATGATCAACACCATAAGCAAGACCTTAGAAGCACAAGGGAAGACCCAAGATATCAAGCAAAGTCCAAGCACGAAGATAGGAACCAAGCCGGACGCCAGATCACGAAGAAACGAGCTCACAGAAGTGACCGGACGCTGGACCGGACGCTAGTAGCACAGTGACCGGACGCTCCGATCAAGAGGCTCGGCAGCATCAGCGACCGGACGCTGAACGAGCAAATCGATCAGACGCAGGACATCAGAGTCCGGTCGAGTACAAAGAGGTTCCAGAGCGGCGAAACTGCGACCGGACGCGTCCGGTGGCAAGTGACCGGACGCTGACAGCGTCTGATCAGTTGATCGCGGCTCCAACAGTCGAGATGACCGGACACGTCCGGTTAGGACGTGATCAGCGTCCGGTCAATAGCAGAAAAGCGGGATTTCGTCCCCAACGGCTACTTTCTCAGTTGGGCTTATAAATAGACCTCCCAGCCGGCCATTTGTGTAGTGTGGAGCTGAGGAAACATATCAAGGGTGTTGATATACCATTTTAGTGATCTCCACTTGCATAGTGCTTAGTGATTCATTAGGTGATTAGCGTAGGTGCTTTGTGAAGTGCTTTGGTTGATTAGACCACCGCTTATGCGCTTGCTCTAGGTTTAGGCCTAGTGTTTAGTGAGGTTTGCATACCTCTTACCACTCGGTGCTTGCGCGCACCATTGTTGTATATCGGAGGGGCTTGTAGTCTTGCGAGATCACACCAATCACGTTTGTGGTGTGGCCGCCATCGTGTACCAGAGGGAACAAGGCCCGCGACGTTTCAGCCGAAAGCTTGATAGTGAAGACGACGGGGAGCATCCGAGAGAGGCTTGCCGGAAGGCACGTTGGAGACCCACTTGCGCGTGGGGAAGGCCCGAGGCTATCCACGGAGTTACCCGACCGGGAGCTTGGCCCTTGCGAGGGATTCCTTGCGAGGGGCTCCAATGAGGACTAGGAGAAAGCTTGCGTGCTTCTTGATACCTCGGTAAAAATATCGGAGTCATCGACGGGAGTTTGCATATCTCTGCCTTGCTCTTTAGCTTCCGCATTTACATTGATTGTATTACTCCTTTTGCGGTAGAGATAGCAATACACTAGCAAAACCGTAGTTGCACATTTAGATAGTTTATCTTTTGCATAGGTTTTGCTAGGGTTAGAAAAAGAGGCCATAGTTTAGAGTTAGAATTTTAAGTTGCCTAATTCACCCCCCTCTTAGGCGTCACGGTCCCCTTCACAGATCTCCTGTCATTCCTTCAAAAAAAAAATTGCTAGAGCATTTTCACGGTCAAAGATGTAGCGCCACTTATGACTTGGGAGACTTCAAATTTAGGTACATCATTCTAGCATCATCATCATGCTGATGAGGGCAAGGCTTGTTGACAATCCATCACCATATATAGCCACTACTTTGTGTAATTGTGTTATTGTGCTTGTTGTCATGATGGATGCACATGTTTTCATTGTCAGAATCTGATTGATTCAAATGCCGTACATTTGGAGGATTCATTTTTATCCAAAGTTCCAAAGACGTGGATTATCAAACATTTTTTCTACTGAACCTAGTACACATATGAACATTTGGGTTCACATACATGCATAGACATCTTACATACTCTTATTATTAATTAATTACAAAGAATCACTACCGGAAACTGGCACTTTGCCGGGTGCCGGAGGCTTTGCCGAGTGTATTTTATCGGGCACTCGGCAAAGACGATCTTTGTCGAGTGCCAAATAAAATACACTCGGCAAAAAAAAAAAACACTCGACAAAGATGGTTTTGCCGAGTGTTTTGTTTCAGCACTCGGCAAAGATGTATTTTGCCGAGTGCCATTTTTCGGCACTCGGCAAAATACGTCTTTGCCGAGTGCCTTTTTTCTGGCACTCAGCAAAGATGTATTTTGTCGAGTGCCTTTGTTTTGGCACTCGGCAAAGAGGCATTTTGCCGTATGCATTTTTTTGCCCTCGGCAAATCATTTTTTTAAAGCACTTTTTGAGGCCCTAAATGAATTCAAATGAAAAACTTTTCAACTACAAAGTTGTATAACTTCTCAAGATCTACAAAGTTTATTTTGGTCATTTCTTCATTTGATAAAGCGACAATAACGTTGTTCATAAAATCTACATGTCTCTCATATCTCATATTAGTTTCATGAAAGTAGAAGAGAGATATATAAGATTTGTGATCAATGTTACTACCACTATATCGGAAGAACAAATGACCAAAATAAACTTTGTAGATCTTGAGAAGTTATGAAATTTTGTAGTTGGCAACATTTTGATTTGAAATCATCTTGTCATGCAAAAACGACGTTTGAATTTGAAAATTTTAAAATTTGAATTTTTCAAAAGACCTCGGATGGAAAAACTTTCTAAATGAAAATTGTAGATCTCCAAAAATTATGAAACTATGTAGTTGACAACTTTTTGATTTGAAATCATCTTATCATGCAAAACTACGTTTGAATCTCTCAAATTTAAAATTTGAATTTTTGAAACGACCTCGGATGGAAAAACTTCCTGAATGAAAATTGTAGATCTCGAAAAGTTATGAAAGTTTGTAGTTAACCACTTTTTTATTTGAATTCGTTTAGGGCCTCAAACAAGCAATTTACTCTCGGTTTAGTATAATATATGAGGATAGATAACAGAATCTATACACAAGTGACAGTGTAGTACAGTGGTAGAGCAGCAGACACGCGAGCGAGAGGTCGTGAGTTCAAATCCCGCTGGCTGCGTTAGCCGCGAATTTTGCGCAAAAAATGCAGCGACTTTGATGGAGACTGGCGGGTGCTGGCCGGTGGCGGCCTCCCCCGAAAAAAATTGCTATTATTTTTGGTTTTTTTTTTCGCATTTTCATTTTGCCGAGTGTAAATCTTTGTCGAGTGCTTTTGCCGCACTCGACAAAAGCTTTGCCGAGTGCCCGACAAAAAGCACTCGGCAAATGCTTCTTTGCCGATTAATGTTTTGCCGAGTGCCTTTTGTCGAGTGCGGCACTCGGCAAAGCCTTTGCCGAGTGTATTTCGGATCGGCAAAGAGAGGGTGTTCGGTAGTGAATGGTCCAAACTGATCTTTAGACCGATGAATTTAAAGTAGGTGCCTCAGTGTTAATGAACAATGTCGCCTACCCTGCTGGTTCCTATTGCCTTGTTTGGTCAGCTTATAAGTTGCTTATGGCTAAACTAAACTATTTTTTGTAGTTTTTTGTGGCCTCGCTTCTTCCCATAGCTTCTATTTGTACTAAAATACAAAAGTAGCACTAGACTAGAGAACAACCTATTTTAATCATGCTTTTCCCGCTCTACCAAACAGGGCCCATGTAGCTTAGCCCTTGTTTAGTTCTTTCGTCAAAACTTTACACCATATCACATCGAATGTATGGACACATGCATAAAATATTAAATATAGACTAAAAAAATAACTAATTGCACATATTGCGGCTACTTTATTAGACAAATCTTTTAAGCCTAATTAGTCCATGATTTGACAACAAAGTGCTACAGTAACACGGTGCTAATGACGGATTACTTAGGCTCAATAAATTCGTCTCGCGGTTTACTGGCGGATTCTGTAATTTATTTTTTTATTAGTATCCGAACACCCCATGCGACACCCCATATAACATCTGGCGTGACACCCCAAAACTTTACACCCTGAATCTAAACACCACCTTAGTTGGCCACTCAAACGGATCTTGATGAATAGTCAAAAGTCATATACCTCGTGAATATTGAATGCTCATGTCAGTATAACGAAAGAAACAAGAATTGATGTGCGATAAAAGACAAGTTAAATATATTTCTGTTACAATAGTAATTAATTAATTATTTGTGTACGATATCTTGTAATAATAAAATATCAAGCCATTTTATTTTAAAATGTGAAAGCTGCTTTTACTAGAAAAAAAACTCTGCTTGCTGTCAATTAACCTATACTGACAGACATTTTTCTTCAATCTATTCTGTTGGTTAATTGACAGCGAGAGTTGGTGAATGAAACCGCTACCGCATACCATGCATCCTCAATCTATACCATTCATAAATAAATTAATTAAAAACAACCGCCTTTTCCCCCAAAAAAATTCCAGACTTTATCATTATTGGTTCGAACTTAAAATTTTGCAAGTGACAATGACACGAACGTCCAATCTACCTCGAGATTCATGCAATTTAAAAATGAGAATCCAGGTTAACCAATCACAACCATGCATATTCTATCCACTAGGAAAGAGCAAAGAAAATTTTGGATGCTACGTTCGGATAGTGGATTCTATTTCTTCATTTGGCTCCAAGGAGAAGCCGAAGACACATGAAAATGACAAGGCCAATCATGCGTCAATTATACTAGACTTAGATATCGCTTACTGAAGCACTGACAGCAGACATCTCACCAGCCTCGCTAAAAAATTCATGGCCTACACAGTCTAGTACTCGCTCGGTCGCTTACAAATAGCCATGTTGCACCGTGATCCTTCCATTTCTCCCAGACATGGAGCCGTTTTTTCTGTTCATAGAGCTGGCCCTTGTTCTCTGCATCCTCACCGCCCTGTACTACCGCCGCTTGAAATCTAAGAAAACGAGCCCTTTGGAGCCGACCGAATGGCCATTAGTCGGGCATCTCCCCGGCTTGGTCGCCAACATCCACCACTTCCACGACTGGGCCACCGGCGTCCTCACCGGCGCGGGCTACAACTTCGAAGCACGCGGAGGCCGCACCGGCCTGGACTACTTCATCACCTGCGAGCCCTCCAACGTGCGCCACATCTTCACGTCCAACTTCGCCAACTACCCTAAAGGCGAAGAGTACGCCGTGATCTTCGACGTCCTTGGCGGTGGCATCTTCAACGCCGACGGGGAGTCGTGGCGGCGCCAGCGGGTGATGGCCCAGATGCTCATGACTGGCCCTCGGTTCCGAGCCTTCACGGCGCGGTGCAGTCGCGACAAGGTGGAGAGGAGCCTCCTGCCTTTCCTCGCCCACCACGCCGCCGACGAGGGAAGCAGGCCGCCGTGCGACCTGCAGGACGTGTTCCTGAGGCTCACGTTCGACATGACATGCACTCTCGTCTTCGGCGTCGACCCTGGGTGCCTAGCGGTCGGCTTGCCCGTGGTCCCCTTCGCGCGAGCGATGGACGACGCGCTGGAGACGCTTTTCCTCCGGCACATCATCCCCATGGCGTGCTGGAAGCTGATGAACGTGCTGGAGGTAGGGCAGGAGAAGAAGATGGCCGAGGCTCGGAGGACGATCGACAGCTTCGTCGCCGCCACCGTCGCAAAACGCAGGGCCGACAAGCTCAGAGAAGGCGATGGCGTCAGCAACTCGTTTGACTTGCTGTCATCCTACATCTGCCACGAGGACTCGAGTGACGCAAACGACGACGTGTTCTTACGTGACACGACGGTGAACCTCCTGCTCGCCGGCCGCGACACCACGGGCGCGGCGCTGTCGTGGTTCTTCTACCTCATCTCCAAGAACCCTCGCGTCGAGCAGAAACTACTGGACGAGCTCGCGCCCATCGCTTCACACCGGAAAGGTGCTGATGATGCTGCAGACGCGGCCAGTGGCATGGTGACCTTCGACGCGAATGAGCTCGGCGGCCTGGTTTACCTGCACGCCGCGCTGAGCGAGTGCTTGAGGCTGTACCCGTCCGTGCCGTTCGAGCACAAGGTCACGGCGGCCGCCGACGTTCTGCCGAGCGGGAAGGAGTTGAAGGCAGGAGACAAGGTATTGGTGTTCAACTACTCCATGGGCAGGATGAAGGGCGTGTGGGGCAAGGACTGCATGGAGTTCCGCCCGGAGAGATGGCTCAACGAGGAAGGGACCAAGCTTCGGTATGAGCCGTCCTACAAGTTCATCTCCTTCAACGCCGGGCCACGGACGTGCCTCGGCAAGGAGATGGCGTTCGTGCAGATGAAGACCGTGGCGGCGGCCGTGCTGTGGAACTTCGCCGTCGAGGTGGTGCCGGGCCACGTCGTGGAGCCGAAGCTGTCCATCATACTTCACATGAAGAATGGGCTTGCCGTCAAGGTTAGGAGAAGGGAAGGGGACGACGCCGTCGTCGTGTGTCACGGCTTGCATCTGAGTTCTGACTGAACACAATGCGTCTGGATTATGTGAGCACTGCGTGGCTTCTTATTAGTCTGTTATATCCGGCTGGAATCTACCAACACTTTGCGTGACTCGTCTCAATATGCATGTGGCCGTACGTGGCATATGGTGTCTTCTTGCACACTAGCTAGCGGAACAATTAATGGGCCTTCCATGCATGTGTACACCAGCTTATATATATATATATATATGTTGGATATATATGGTATAGTTTTTCATTCACATATGGCGTGATTGTACTTTTGTACTTCTCCGGCAGTTCCCATTCAAGCATGCTATCATTTTGCCCTTCTTGAAAACTGTCATTTAGCAAGCAAACATTTCATTTCCTGGAGTATAGTGGTAAAACGCTGGAATGCTATGCCGACACACTTAAGTTCGCCGACCGCATCTCAACGATGCAACAAAACTGTGTGTGCTACCGATGACGTTTTCGTAATCCCATCAACATTTCTTGTAGGAGTGTGTTACGAAGTGAAGTTGTGGGTCCCACTGAGGCGTGGTAGCCGAGTTATTACATACCTATGATAAGATGATTAAGATCAGTGGAGGGGCCATTGACATGGTGACGGTAGCTGACTTGTATAACCTTGTTTGGTAAAGGGATGTTTTAGATCTGTGGAGTTCGTGGCCTCCAAGGCTATAGGTCAGAATAGCACTCTGTCGCTTCAAAACACCCCATCACTATCAGATTTTGAACCGGCACAACCATACCGGCAGTGACGAGGGTCAGTTATCACTGTCGATTCCTACAAACCGGCAGTGTTCTTCAACTTCACTGCCGGTTCTTTACACAACCGGCAGAGTTCAGGTCCACAAATACTGCCGGGTTCATTAGATCACCCGGCAGAGTTTAGTTCCACCAACACCATCGGTTTGTGTTTTAACCGGCAATTTTGTTATAACGAGCACTGCAGATTTGTGACAAGAATAGGCAGTGATGGATAAGCTAACGCTGCCGGTTTGTGCATCAAGCTGGCAGTGCCATCTTGGCCATCACTGTCGGTTTGTTACTAACCGACAGTGAAGGTTACGACAACACAGTCGGTTTGTTTCTAACCGGCAGTGATGGTTACGACAACACTCCCGGTTTGTTGCTAACCGACAGTGATGGCCTGTTCGCATTTTATTGTTTTATAATTTATTTTAATTTATATTTTTTCGTGGAATCGGGTTTTGCTTTATATACGCTACGTAGACGACCGATTCATCAATATTGAACATTACAAATGTTACGGTTACGATTCAAATGTTCTTATCAAGATTTCAATCCCTCAAAATAAAAAAGAAATTATTTGATAAGATGAAGGATGCATCTCGGACTTCTTACAATAATCTAGCGAGCCGCTCTAGGCCATACTGGTCCTTGAACTTAACGGATTGTGCGATGGAAAATACTCCATCTTTTTACAATACCTCGGCTAAGATGAATTTTGTCAGCTCCAATTGCAGTGCGACGATCTCCATGTCTAACAGCCTTTTGTGGTTATATTTCTTACGCTGTCGTTCAAAAAAGATGATATCCAAAGAGTAATCAGTAAATCATTTTATTGAATTATTAACAGACATAAATGAAATGGGAATTATACACACCAACTTATCTGCTTCTTCTAATTTCCCGCCGATGTAGCGAAGCATTGCCCACATTACATAAAACCCGCATTCATTGTTTCCCGCCGGCTGTTTTAGGTACTTCCCCTCTATTTCGACAACCTTGAATGGGACCTGCGTCCCACTGATATGTCTTCTTCGGACACTGTGCATCATTAAAAGGAGAAACATTAGAAAGCGGTATATGTGACTAGAAAATAATATGTTATTAGGATCGCTTACTAATTCAGCACTGCCACCAGTGCATCTAGATGATGAAATGGTTTTTTCTTCGAGTCCCACACCTCGATCAGATTTTTAGCAAGATTGACACAAATGAAGACAAAATGGTTGCTGCAATCACAGAATCCTAATTATCGAATAATCTTAACGAAAAAAGCATAAAATTAAAAGCCGAGAACACATACTCGCAGTTGTAGGCTAAAAGTACGTGGGTATTGTTCTTCATCTTGAATTCATCGAAAACAACAATCAATCTCTCTTTCAAGTCTTCCACGTCACATCCATATAGGTCTAAACATGTCTTCTCATTGACTCGCAAGAGGTCCAAGAAGCCTATGTTATCCCATTTACTTTTTAGTATGCAAAATTTTGCTATACACCTGCATAAAATCATGAGAATTGGTCAAAAGTTAACAATTTGTGTCTCGAGAGAGTAGTTAATTATAATATCATGCGTGTAGGGTACTTACATAGTCCACAGCGTCAACATTTGTGAATCGAGAGAATGTTTCTGGTATAGCTGGAACAAGCACTCCCACTCGACATCGAACTTTTTTTCTTCAGGATAATAAAAAACATATGGCGAACGGATAATAACCTCAAAACCAAAGTCCTTCGTCTCTGTTGCTTGAGCCATGTAATAATATTCATGCAACTGGCGCATATATGTTGTCAAATTTTTATTCTCGTCATCGGGAACCAAAAGATTACCCCGTTCATACTTCATTGCCGGTGTTTCCGTCCCTTGTACATCATAATAGATGTTTGCGGCCTCTTCCATGGTTAATTCGGGGTTGTCTACGATGTACTTCTGTATCTTTCTTAAATCTTCATTCTGTATTTCATCGGCTCTTATTGTAGCGTACTGATTCTGTGTTTGCCTTTCGAATTCGGACTTCAACAAACACGGAGGCAGTGAGGCACAAAGATTGAAGAAACTAACACAATCTTCCTTCGAGATGTGTACTGTAAATTGTCCTTCCATCAAGTTTGTAACGCTGCCACTAAACGATCTTTTTCTTTTTTGTTGGTCCACTTTGGGAGCATTAGCGACCGAATCCAAGGACCTTTTCTGCGACTGCGAGGATGCCTTTGATCTTGTTTTGGGCTGAGGTGGAGGAGGAGGAGGAGGATGACGACGAGAATTCTATTTTCCTGGGGCTGATGAAGATGGAGGAAGAGGAGGAGTCTTCTCTTTTGTCGGGGCTGATGAAGATGGAGTCGGAAGAGGAGGAATAAATGGAGACCTCTATCTTCTCGGGGGTGATGGCATGGGATGAGGAGGGGAGTGATCTATGTTGGGACATGGTGAGTGATCATCGCGGGTGGGTGAAGACTCGTAGTCGTCCTCGTCATTAGATGACAATTAGTGGTCAAGCTTAATGAAGCGCTTGCGCCAGGCCACTTGAGAGCCCTTGTTATGACCAAGTTTCGGCCTGTCTTCCGCTGTGGGGTACTCAATGTATATCTTGTTGTACTTCTTATCATGTATTCTGTCAATGGTGACGTGAGCGTACCCCTGTGGAATTGGGCGGCCATTATTGGTCCCGTCTCCCGTAGACCTAGCCTGGCCGAGTGCCACCTTGTCCTTTGTCTATTCCTAACGGATGTACAACTTAACATTAACGGGTTCAGTGATGCCATCCACCGGATGAGGCACATTCGCATATTCTTCATCGAGCGGGGTCGATCCATAGCTGCTGCGACCCCTAAACTGTGGGGTAAAGGCAGTAGGAGTAGGGTTTTGTGGTATTCCTAACCCCTTGGACAGCAAAATTTGCTGGACTCGTGCTTCAACAGTCGCCTCAATCTATGCGTCCATTCTATCTTCCATCTCTTTTAGTCATCTCAAATACTCTGCCTCCTGATTCGCTCTACCCCTCGAGCGGCTTCGGTAAGTGTTAGATTTTTGGGGGAATGCTAGTTTACAAGGAACAACACCAGTTCCTCTAGTGTGACTAGGGTGCTCCTTGGTTCTGAGTGCTTAGGTGAGCATGTCTTTCTCCATATTGGAAGTGCGAGTCCCTTGCCTCACCTCCTCAGTTACCTGGAAGATCCTCTGGATGAGTTCGCTCATGGGTAGATTTGTGGAGCTAAAGCTCCCATCCTTGGCGTGCCGTACATTCCTCCCCATATAGTATATTACCGATCTGGGCTCCCAATCGGTGGTCTCAACCTGAACGCCTTCCTCAGCTAGGCGATCCATCTTTTCAAGTTCTGCTTCAAATTCTGGCATTGTTTTGGCGTAGCCACGAGAGTCGAGATGATGAGGATTCATCGCATTCTCCGAGTTCTCCTTATTCTTCCTGCTCAGTTCTAAGTACTCCTCGGATAACCTGTATTTCTTAAAATCCTACCAGAAGTCATTCTGCTTGCTAAACTGTCCACCATCAAAATCTGACTCTTTATTTTGGAGGACAAAATTCTTGTACAATGTCCCCTTGAAATTCTTGAAGCATGTCCCCATGATTTCTTTTGCTTTTTTCTTGACTAACTCCTTGTCATACTCCGTTGAGAAAGTAAAATACTCTAGGATCTTGATATCCCATATGTAATCCTTCTCACTTTCAGAAACCCTCCATGGGTCATCATCTTTTCCATTCCACTTCCTGTACCTAATTAGGATGAAGTCCCTTACAAGTAACCCGATGATAGTCTTGTATTTGGTCAAAGCTATAGACAGTCAGAGTGGATCCCTGAATTCATCGAACTCAGTGATGTGCCAGTGTGCATTCCTACCAATAGGAATCTTTGACACGCCTTGCTTGGATCTAGCCTTCCTGCTACCCGAACCCTCTGCCTCCTCGGCCGGCGGAGGCTCCTACTGGAGACACCAAGTAAGCTATGACCCTCTCAATTGATTAGCGTGTGTGGCTACATAGTCACATGATACCAAAGTGACCTAGCCATCTTGGTCATTTTGACCCAGATTGAGTAGGCAGGACGAGGTCCATGGTTGCTCGTTCTCACCGTCCTGATTGACACCGTCACCGTTTGTCGGATCATGCGGCGCTCCCGTCCCAGCGATATCAGCCGCTTCTTGTTGCCGATCTGTTCTTCGTCGATGGGGTAACAGGCGACGACGAGTCATGGCTGTGACACGATCGTGGTTAGTTTTGGCTGTGAACAACTACTAATAGCATATGTTCATA